ACGTTCGCGCGGCGTCGTTCGAGGCGTCGACGCCGCGCGCGCGCGCGGTGACGCTGGAGGACGTGGAGGAATTCGCCGAGGCGAATCGACGGGCGGCGAACGAGGCGCGCGCGACCGCGCTCGCGAACGCCGCGCTCGCGGTCTCCCTGGCGTGGAGCGCGCTCGAGCGGTTGGTGGCGTGGATACGGGCGCGGCGCGCGGCGCGCGCGGGGGACGGGGCGCGCGCGACGGAGACGGAGACGGCGACGGCGGACGCGGCGACGGAGACGGCGACGGCGGCGGAGACGGAGACGGCGACGGAGACGCGATGACGGAACGCGGTGAGATCGCGGCGCCGAGGTACGCGCGAGCGACGATTGGACTCGGGCTCGGGGTCGGCGTGACGCCGGTGCGGGCGCTCGGGGACGGGGTGGACGGGTCGACGCGCGCGCGGACGACGCCGAGGGCGCTGCCGGTGACGGAGAACGGTTTGGGGGGAGACGTGATTGATTTTTCGCACATCGATCGAACGCCGGTGCGGAACGAACCGGGGAGCGCGAGTGCGGCGGCGGTGAAGGCGCTCGCGGCGGCGGCGACGGCGGAGGAGGAGGCGGAGGAGGAGTATTGGGATCCGAATGAAAACCCGCGGTGGTGCCCGCCGGGGACGGTGGAGCGGTTGAGAAACTTACAGTCACCGCTCATCCGACTGCACAACGAGATTGTGGATTTTAGTCGGTTTTTGGAACCGACGGAGGCGGAGGCGTCGTCTCGCACGGCTGCGGTCGAACGCGTGCGAGACGTCGTGAAGGGCATTTGGCCGAACGCTCGATTCGAGGTGCACGGTTCGTTCGCCACGGGTATGTATCTCCCGGGATCTGACATCGACGCCGTCATCTTGGATAGCGGGGCAAAAAATCCAGGGGTGTGTCTCAAAGCGCTCGCGATCGCGCTCGCTCGACGAGACATGGCGATTAAGATTCAACTCATCGCCAAGGCGCGCGTGCCCATCGTCAAGTTTGAAGAAGTGGAGAGCGGGCACCAGTTCGACATTAGTTTCGACGTCGCGAACGGACCGGCGAGCGCTGAAATCGTGCGCGAGAACATGCGTCGATTTCCTGCGTTACGACCACTGACGACGGTGCTCAAAGCGTTTCTCGCCCAGCGCGGTCTCAACGAGGTTTACTCGGGCGGCATCGGCTCGTACGCGCTACTGTGCATGGTCATGGCGCACTTACAACTGCACAACACGACGTGCAAGTCCACCTGGGCTGGATCGCACGGCGCCAGCGACGCGAGTGAAGGGTGCTTGGGCACGCTTCTCATCGACTTCTTCGAGCTCTTCGGACGACGGCTCAACGCGGAGGAGGTCGGGATCTCGTGCGGCGGCAAGGGACCGGGCTTCTTCAAGAAGCGCGACCGGGGAATGTTCGAAGAGAATCGACCGTTTCTCTGGGCAATCGAAGACCCGCAAGATGAAACGAATGATCTGGGCAGGAACTCGTACGCGTGCAGGCAAGTGAAGAGCGCGTTCGACCACGCGTTCACCGTGATAACCGCGCCGGTGGATAGCAAGAATGGGTTCTTGCTTCGTCGCATCGTACAGATGGATCCTTCTTGGTACAAAACGCGGCAACCGCCCGAGGGACCGGGTGAGATTCGCGGTGTCGCGTTAGATTTTCCAAAGTACGTCGAAATGGGACGGAAGCGCGCGGCGCACGAGGCGAAGCAGCGAAAGCAGGCTTTGAATGCGAAGAAGGCAGACACACAGGTGAAGCCAGCGAAATCGAAGAAGCGGGCGCGTGTTGAGGACGAAGAGGAAGAGGAAGGCGCAATCGAAGTTGACAAAGATTCGTCCACATCAGAGAGTGGTGAGACCGGGAAGCGCAGGAAGAAGGAAACCAAGCGCAAAGGTGTCGACGAGCAGGCGCCGCCTAAAACAAAATCAAAAGGATATTTCGCCAAGGGACGTCCGAATTCTAAAAAGCAAAAGAAGTGAAGCAACGCGTATCGAAGTAGGTTGTAACAAATCCTTGACACACGTTTAATCCGAGATCGCAGTGATAATTAAATTAGTCCGCGGAGAATGCGGATTCCGCCAAATCGATGGCCCTGCCTAAAGCAGCCGCCTTGTTGACAGTTTCTTGATACTCGCTCTCCGGGTTAGAATCGGCAACGATCCCGGCACCAGCTTGGAGATGGATCATCCACTCGCGAGATCCGTTGACGTCCTTGGCTTGGCGCGTCGGGACCACCATGGTGCGCAACGCGAGCGCCATATCCATCTCACCCGTGAAGCCGACGTAACCGATACCGCCACCGTACGGACCGCGGCGCGTCACCTCTAAATCGTCAATGATTTGCATCGCTCGAACCTTTGGCGCACCGCTCACCGTACCTGCGGGCAATGCCGCGCGAAGGACATCCCACGGTCCAAGGTTATCAACTAAGCTACCCGTCACGGTCGAGGAGATGTGCATCACGTGCGAGTATCGCTCGATCTCCATGAGCTTTTCAACCTTGACCGTGCCCGCCTTGGAGACACGACCGACGTCGTTACGACCAAGATCAACGAGCATGACGTGTTCGGCGCACTCTTTCTGGTCCGCGAGCAAATCAGCCTCCAACGCCTCATCCTCTTCTTGCGTCTTGCCACGCATACGCGTCCCCGCGAGCGGGCGGTTCACCACGGTCCGCTCCTTGTTCACTCTGCACAAAATCTCCGGGCTCGATGCAACTAGGATGCAATCCCGACCTTGGTAGTAAATCATGTACGGGGATGGGTTAACGACGCGTAACGCTCGGTACACCTCGAACGGGTCCGCGTGCGTCTGGCGTTGGAATCTATGGCTGAGGACGAGCTGGAAGATATCCCCAGCCTTGATGTGTTCCTTCGTCTGCGCCACCGCACCTAAAAACTCATCCTTGGTCATCGTGCTGTCTTTCGGCACGCTCGGTCGTTGGTCGAGCTGCAAGTTGACGAAACCTTGCTTCAACGTCGGCGACTTGGACGGCTGCAAGTCGTCAATCAACGCGTCCACGGCGTCCATTCCCTTGTGGTACGCCTCGTCCACGTTCGCGTACTCATCCGTCATCACCCAGTGCACCGCATAGAGCTGCTTGGTCGCGTTATCGAACACCACGACATCCCTGTAGAGCCCGAGATGAATGTCCGGCAGAGACCTATCGTCCTTCGGCGCCGCCTCTCCGAAATCGAGCTTACTCTTGTACTGATACCGCACGGTGTCGTATCCGGTGAACCCGACCCAGCCCCCTGAGAAGCATTCCGGTAAACCCGACATCGTGCACGCCCGCCACTCCGCGCTAATGCGCTTCATCACCTCCATCGGATCTGTCTCCGTCGTCGTCTCGCTCCGCCCCGTCCCGTGGTGCGTCGTCGTCACCTCGTAATCCTTCGCCGTCACCTCCATCACCGGCCGTCTCCCCAGGAACGAAAACCGCCCAACCTGCGACCCCCCGACGACGGACTCCAACAGAAAGCTCGGCGCTTCTCTATCGTCCTCCTTCACCAACAAGCGATACGCCAATATCGGCGTCAACTGATCGTCAAAGATCCGTCGATACACCGGCACGACGTTATGTCCACCCCGCACCGCGTCACCGAACGCATCCCGAAGCGTCTCCCGCGCCGCCATCGCCGCCGTCGCGCTCATCGTCGCCGCTCGTCGCGTCCCGCGCGGTCGCCCCGCGCGTCCGCCTCGGCAGCCATCGCCCCGATGCCGTGCTCGCACCGCCGTCCCGCGCGCCCCGTTCGTCCCGCGCGCCGCCACCGACGTCGCGCGCGCGCTTTCCATCCCGCACCGCCGTCCCGCGCGCCCGCGCACCCGCTCGCGCGCGCGCGATCGACGGATGACGCGATGCGCGCGTTCGATCGCGTGAAAACCCTCACCGAGCGCTCGACGGGTCCCTCGAAAGGTGCGCTCCAAAGGTGGCGTCGACGCCATCGATCGGTCGACGCCTTTCGAGCGACCGATGGTGATCGCCAATCGGCGACGCGTCGCAGCGATGACGATCTACGACGACGTCGCCCCGCGCGAGGCGACGACGTTGACGTCCGAGCGCAAGGCGGCGTTCGTCACCGAGCTGTTCGATCGCGTCGCGCGTCGGTACGACGTCGTCAACGCGATGATCGCGTGCGGATTCGTGGCGCGATGGCGACGGCGGGCGCTGCGATGTGGGCTCGATGTGTTCAACGCGCTCGATCGCGCGCGCACGATCGAGCGTGGGGACGTCGTGTTGGACGTCGGGTGCGGGACGGGTGCGGTGACGGCGACGGTGATGTACGGCGAGCTGAGCTTTCTGGGGGCGGAGGTCACTGGGTTCGATTGCTCGCCGGGGATGTTGCGAGAGGCTCGGCGGGCGATGCCGAACGCGAGGTGGGATTTGGGGAACGCGGCGAAGATGACGGCGTACGAGGACGCGTCGTTCGATTGTGTGTTCACGGCGTACACGCTTCGGAATTTCAGCGATTTTGACGCGACGATGGAGGAGATGTATCGGGTGTGTAAGCCGGGCGGCCGGGTGGTTATCCTGGACGCGTTCCCGCCGAGCGGAGTCTTCGGGTTCGTGTTAAGGACGTGGCTGCGGTTCGCGCTGCCGATTATCGGGAATTTGATCACGGGAGAGCGCAAAGCGTACGAGTACTTGGGGTCTTCGATCGAGATGGCCAGAACGCCCGAGGAGGTGTCGGGCGCGTTAAGAAATCTCGGCGCCGAGCGCGTGGAGGCTGCGAGAATGTTTCCGTTCGGCGCGGCGGGTATGATCGTCGCCTTTAAACCGTCGTAGGGCTTGGACATAGTTTTGTTACAACATGTATGGTATAGTCAAATCAGTCGTATCTAATTGCACACCGCTCCGGCGGCGGTCGCGGTGGAAGAAGTCGACGTCGATTTCGTCGGTCGCGCGCGGCGGCCCACTGCGTACTCACGCGCTGATCCCACGATAGTGGAACTCTTTGAGAGTTTTTCCACCGTATTTCGATGTTCATCGCTCTCGAGCACGGGCCAGTGCTCGGCGAGAATACCCACGAGCTCTTTGCACAACTTTATGCTCGATTTTCGAGGTCTCGACCGAGTACTAATCGGCGTTGGCTCGTCTCCCAGCAGCGCGCGTAAGGTGGCCGAGGCGCACGTCGCGAGCGGTCTCAGCGCGTACCCACCCTCGAGAGCGACAACGACACGCCCCGTCCCGATATTGCAGAGCCTTTTCGTCATGTGCTGATACCCTGCCGGCGATAGCATCATCCCGCCAAGCGGGTCCCCGTCTGCGGCATCAAAGCCCGCCGCGATGATGATCAAATCAGGCGCAAAAGCCCGCACACATGGTTCGATGACGATGTCGAACGCGGCCAGGTAATCGGCATCGCCAAGACCCTTCTCCTTCCACGCCACGTTGACGTTCGTCCCTTTCGCCCCGACCTCGGACGCGGCGCCCGTGCCGGGATAGAAATCATCACCGTACCTATGTAGCGACACGTACATAATCGAATCGTCGTCAAACGTGAGGTCCTGTATCCCGTTTCCGTGGTGGACGTCCCAATCAAGAATCACCACCTTTTTAACGTCCGCGTGCTCCGCCATAGCCGCTCGAGCTGCGACGACGGCGTTGTTGAAGAAGCAAAAGCCCATCGCTTGAGCGCACACGGCGTGATGTCCCGGGGGGCGAACCACCGCGTACGCTCGATCGACATCACCCCTGCACACGCTCAAACACGCCTCTGAAACGGATCCAGCCGCCATCCTGGCTCCCGCCGCGGTGTGTCGAGTGAAGAAGATATCATCACCAAACACATTCTCGCCCGTCATGATCTGCACCGACTCGCCGTCTTCGTCAAACGCGCTCGCGACGAACGCCACGTGTTCCTTTGAGTGCGCCCGCTCGAGCTCCTCCACCGTCGCCTCTCGACACCTCAACCGCTCACACCGACTCTCCAGTCCATCCGCGCGCATCTCGTTCACCACCACTCGATGTCTCGCCGGCCGTTCAAAGTGTCCATCCTTTTCGTGCAGCTCCATGCGCGCGTCGCTCGCCAATCCAACCCTCACCCCGCTCTTTTCCTCGCGCGTCGTCTCCGTCTTCGCTCGAATCAACTCTTTGACTACCGCGGGCGTGGGCGTCACCGCGCGCGCGATGTGCGCGCCCTCTCGCACGCGCAACGCGTCGAGAGAATCGATTAAATCATCCACGCTCGGTGCCCCAACGGCATCGTCGTCATCAACGCTCGCGTCTCTGCGTAAACGCTCGGCTCTGGACTTCACCGCGGCGACGCGGGCGAGGACGGCGTCGACGCGATCGAGCGAGAGCGCGCGCGAGGCGTCCGAACGCGCGGACGCGCGTCGATCGGACATCCGTCGAGACCTGCAGTGTCGTAACGGTCGAGGAGACATTTGACATTTGACTTTGACATTTGCCGTGCGCGCCGGCGGGATGACGCGCGAGGCGTGAAACGGTCGTATCGAGTGAAACTCCGCGTCGATGGCGTTGAAGGATGGGTGTCAACGCGGAGGATGTGGTCACGCGTCGACGTCGACGGCGTTGACGACGTCTGAGGCGTCCGAGGCGTAGACTGGGATGGCGACGCCGACGGTGCCGCCGGCGAAGGGAGCCTTGATCGAGATGACATCGAAGACGCGTCCGTCGTTGAAATCGCGCTCGATCACGCGAAGTGTTTCGTTCGATTCAATGACCCGGAGATCGTCTTCGGACCAAGAATTCGCGATGGAGGTCGAGGTTTCTCCAGGGAGGAGACCCTCATAGTCGTCGATGCCATCCGGCGCTGCGACGGCGACAATGTCGAGATCTGTCTTGCCCAGAACGTCCGATTCGTCGTCGGCGCCCACGTAATCGAGGTAAAAGTCATTCAACGCGGTGTACCGTCCGTTGGCATCCTTCGTCCAGAGTAAGAAGGCGCCGCCTTGGACGGCGGCTCGTCCGAGGGATTCGATGCGGACGGCTTCGGCATCCGTGTCATCGCTCGTACCGATGGACATCTCATCGTCGTCGCGAACGAGATCGAGCGTGATACCACCTTCGTCCAAATGCCCAAACACCGCGATTCCAACGGTACCGCCCATGTACGGTGCCTTGATGGCGTTCACGGGGATGACGCGCTTTTCGTCTCGAAGGAAGATGCGCTCGAGAAATCGTGTGGGCTCTCCAGACTCTTGAACAATGATATCGTTATCGCGCAAACGTCCCCAAATGGACTTGAACGTCTCGTTCGGCAGCACGCCGTCGAATTCATCGATCAAGAGATCCACTGTGGCCGCTTCAACGAGCTCTTCGTCCGTCTTTCCGATCACAGCACCCGCGACATCGAATCCAAACACTCGCGTAAAGTAATCGTTGACACCCGTGTACCGCCCCTCGGCGTCCTTGGTCCAAAACGGCGCGGGTAAATGTTTCGTCACGGCGCGCCCGAGCGTTGAAAAGTCTCTCGCCGGCATCGGCACCGGCATCTGCACCGGCATCGGCGGGTTTCCGATAGACTCGAACTCTCCATCCACCAAGAGTCTTCTACTTGACGACGCGGCGTACGTCTCGATGCATCTCGTGCTCGCGATGAGCGCCGTGATGAGTGCGGTCGTTCTTCTCCACTTCATATTTCGTCTTGCGCCGTTGCGTGAATCTCGCTCGTTCGTCGCGTGTGCGTCGATGTATGGCGCCCTGGAATACAAATGGTCACATGGGTCGATCAGACAATTTCTTTGTAACGATGACTAAGGACTCGGATTTGCTACCGTGGCGTCGGCGCGCGCCCAGCACGCGGAGAGTGTCTTGGGCTTCACGCGCTTCTCCGTGGATGCAATCACGCGCGTGGCATCGTTCTTCGAGCGCGGCGGCGCCGCGGCGAAGAGCCGAGCGATGGATGACGATTCGGCGGCGGATGATTTTGGGCGCGCTCGCGAGCTACGAGTGCCATACCAGTCGAACGACCACGCTTCACCCGCTGCTTTGTCAAGTGCGTTTGCGTTCGTGAGTGGGGCGTCGAGCCACTCGGTACCCCAGGCGACCCAGACCGGGCCATTTTGAGGTGCGTCAAATCCGGCGAGCTGTTCCACCCAGAAACCAATCTCGCCGTCGTCGAGAATGCGCTCCTTGGTGCCGTAACGTCTGTGAACTCTAATAAGCGAGCCCCAATCGACTGTTTTCTCCAATCTCGTAAACATTCGGCGTCGTATCGCTCCCGGAGGGAGACCACTTTGCTCTCGATCCCTCTGAAATGTCTCGTGCTCGAGCTCGTCGGCGGCGACTAACAGCAAGTCGTTCTCCTTCGCCCAGCACACGGTCTCGTCCCCGACCGAGCCCGTGATCCAATCCCTATTTCTAAACTCCACGGCCACGCGTGCGCCTGACAATCGAGCCTGACAATCGAGCACGTGCGCACGCAACGATTCGCTCGGCGGTTGGCTCAGATGAAATTGGAACACCACACACCCGAGCTTCCCGGCGTCTATTATCGGTGCCAACGCGACGTTAAATCGTTCCCAAAGTGCATCCTTCGCGTGCGGCGACATTGACGCGTACCGCACCCTCCCACTCGGCGTCCCGCACATTTCTCGAATGTCTCGAGGTAAATTTCGGGCGTCGACGCTGCTTGCGCAAAACGCTCCGAAAGCCTTCACAATGAACGAAAACCCTTCCGGCGTCGCGTCCACCCACCTTTGGACGATTTCTCTCTGTGGAATAGCGTACGTCGTGCTGTCGACTTCGACGCATCCGAATCGCTCGGCATATCGTGGTAAACGACGCTCGCCCGTCGACGCTTCGTCCTTGGTGTAAAAGCTTAAAATTTGACTCTTCGCCGCCCATCCGCACGTCCCGTGGACGAGACGACCGCGCAGCGCCTTGACGTCGAAGCTAGACGTTGATGGTATCGGTTGGTCCGCGCTTTGGGGCTTGCGCATCGTGCGGCGATGAGTGAGGGGTGTCGCAAGGTGATTAGCGCCTGCGTCGCTCGGATGGTTCGCGACGTGCTTTGATTTCGAACGCGAGAGCGACGATATAAAAATGCCTACGTTTGATGGTACATGGTGTATTGTGCTAGTAGCTAGTATGGATTGCCCGGACGTACGACGACGCGACACTGAGGATCGCCGCGTGCGAGGCTCTCCTCGAGTGTAACCGAAGCCGTCGTCGGATCTACGTTGGAGAACCACACATCGACGTCGAGCGAGCAGCACGTCGTCTGGGTCAAGAACTCCATGTCGTACTTTTTAAAGAAGGCATGGTACGTGCAAGAGCACGTGGTGAAGCTGACCACGCGACGGACGTCCTCGCGCGTCCAAGCGCCCGGAGCCAAATCGTTCGTTATGTTTCCGAGCATTCCAGCCAGCGTAGCCACCTTATCCCGACTCAGCATGAGCGCCCCCTTGATGAGTCCACCGTTCATCGTCTGCGCCGTGCGTTCCGATCCTAAATGCGTGCGAATGATATTCATTGTAGCCTCGTCCGAGCCCAGATACGGTCGAAGCTGTTGGTAGGTTGCAATCGTCCTCGCCGCCGCCTTCGCGTGCGTTGCTGCGGCATCGCTCGGCGCATCAGTTCCTCGATACGCGTCGTCGTAGATCTCAGCGGCGCTGGACGTTATGGCATTCGCGATGGCTTCCTCGCGGCCGCTGATCTGTGGAATTTTCTTCATGGCGTCCGTGAGAGCTCGCGTGAACGCGGCGTTCTCGACCTTCTCGAGCCACGCACGCGCCGATGACGGAAGCCAGTGGCCTCCAGTGGAGAGTCTACGCGTGCGAGAGAGCACGCGAACGCGGGACATCTCTCGCACAGCGTGTGGAACAGTGCGGGCCAGGCGCTACGTTTTCGTCGAGCGCTTGGCCGCTCGATGTTCGCGTGCCGCTCTCGAGGCGTCGACCGCGCACGCGAACTGCCAGATCGATGCGAATACGTCCTCTGGTTCTCGTCGACGATGGTTCTCTCCACACAGCTCGGCGAATTGTTCGTACTCAGAGTTCACGCGCTCGGCTTTGGACACAAGGTCCGAAACGGTTCGATCCAAGTCAGCGAGCGTCACCGCAAAGCTTTTTGCGAACGTCTCGTCCGACTCTAGCTTGAGTTTCTCAGCACCGGTCGTGAGCTTACGAATTATACCCTCAAGATCGACGCGCGCGACGCGGCTCGCAGCTTGGCACGTGCTCATTTCCGTAGTAAGCGCGATGTGATCTTCGCTTCGTTCATCCGCCAACTCGACGATGAAATCCAATAAAGTTGAGCCACCGTGCGCCGTCGGTGCCGTCGTTCGAACATCGTTGAGCTTGTGTAGCGAGTCTAACGTTATACCGTTCGTTCCCGAACGAGGACCGCCGGCATTCATGAAATTACCAACCTTCAGGGCAACGGCGAAGACACTTCGCAAACCTCTCGCCTCGCTCGTCTGTGCGCACGCCGCTGAGATGGCGTCCAGTCCGGTATGAGCCTCAGCGAGAAGCTCGGGGAACTGCCTGGCGTATACCAGTGATGTGAGCTTGCTCTCCAAACGCTCGACTTGCGCGAGATTCAGTAGAAACTTCTCTGACGGATTCAAAGTATTTGTATCGCCCTTGAAGCTGCGCATCAAATCGAGTTCCTCCGGTGTTGGTTCACATTGAAGCAACACCGCTAATCTCTCAAGCGTCAACCCGCCTTTAGGGTCTCCGCTCGAAATAGCCTCGACGATCTCATCAGCGCTCATCGGGAATCGACTGAGCATGATTGATATGTTGTTGCTTCGGGGAACGGGAATGATGGTAGGCATACCTGCGACGTGTTTGCGTTGCGCCACCGGTTCGGGTTTCTTGTCCATCTTAATCTCGAACGATTTCACCACGGCTGCTTTCTCGTCCACGCTCAACTCTTCTTCGTCGATATTTGCCCACCATGTGTTTTGCGTCAGCACCAGCTTATCCCAATAGACTTTCCGCAAGTTTGGCCCCTGAGGGACAGGCGTCACAGCGGCGAGCGAGAATGATCGAAACTGTCCAGTCGGTGGAGCCGGGGGGACTGGTGCGCGTGGGACAGGCGGTGGAGCCGGTGGCGTTGGTACTATCGGACCGAGTGAAGGGCGTGGTGGCGGTGGTGGCGGTGGTGGCGGTGGCGGTGGTGGCGGTGGTGGTGGGGCAGACACATTCGCATTTGCGCTTTGCGCACGAGCGAATGGTGGCGGCGGCGGTGGAGGAGGCGGATGAGTTATATCGCAACCAATCCTTTTGGGCGGTGGCGGCGGCGGCGGAGGAGGCCCCGGTAGCACGAGCGTCTGTGATACCGTCACTTTCACATCTTCGACGGCCGATGAGGATGTCTGCACGCTCACCGAACCGCTCGTTTTCACCCGCACAGACTCGGAGAGCATGGTCATATCGAGCCAGTAACTTTCTGGAATTAGTGTCTCGTCCGTGCAATCCATCTCGTCTCTTTGGATGCGAACAACTTGCGCCTCCTCAGCGGCGATGAACCCCGTATGGAATGCGTACGTCATTACGGGGAAGAGTTCATCACGCTCTTCGTTACCCGTCCAGTGGTAAATCGAAATCGCGACGTCTCCAGACATCACCAAACCCGCGGACATGCCCGTCGCCGTGTTGAGCTGATGCCCCACAGAGACGAGTTCAAGTCCAATTGGAACTAAACCGTGTCTCGTGCCGTGCCAATCGGGCGAGAAACCGTGCTGCGCTAAACTTCTCCCGACGACTACTCCTCCGCAATAAACAACCGCGTACGGTCGCCATCCTCCGTTGTCGATCGATAAACCTCCAGCAATCACCAAGCGCTTTAGGCGAATGGTCTTCGTGGGAATGTTCTCCTTGGAAACGATGTCTGACCCTCTGCTCATGCGTAGCGCCTCACAAAAGTACCCTCCAAACCTTAGCTGCGCCACGCTCGGCTTCTCCGCGCGATGCCTCTCAAACGCCAGCGGTGGGACCGACGGGAGCTCATCGAACGCGTCCTCGATGGAAGACGTCTCATTCATGTAACACGAGAACGCTGCAACGACGAATCGAAGCATCCGCGCTGCTTCACCACTCGACGGCCGTTCCGCCCGCACGTGAAACACCACAACGTTTTGATCCGACATCTGCAACCAATTTCTCGCGCTCGAGCAAGCGCTCAATATAGAATCCAACGACCCTACACAGCCCCCAGCCGGGCGATCCCATCGCGACAAAAACTCTACGAAACAATTAAAATCGTCGTAAATCTCCCGATCGAGCATCAGCGCGCTGTTCAGGCTGACGAGTAAAACCGTTCCCGGTGGTTGCGCCTCGTCCAGCGCCGCCGCCGCGCTCCGGAGCGCCGTTCGATACGACCCGTCGCCGTCATCGCGCGCGCCCGAGTGTTGAAACGCTAACACGCGCTCAGCGAGCCAGGTCGGGACGTCCAGGTAGGGCTCCGAGCGCGCAACGGCACCGCGAGACGCGAAGAGCCTCGACAGGCCACGACTCGGTACATTCGTCGCGACGACACTCGATGCGCTCGTGCTCGCGCGCTCATTGGACGCTGGTCGCGAGTCAGCGACACCCATGTCACGCGCGCGGTCGCGGATGAGCGCCTGCGTTCGCTCGAGGTGACGAGTGCGGGCAGCGGGAGACAGGGCAAAAAGTAACCGACGCGACGGCTCTCATAAAAAATGTCGTGCGTGTCATGAATTAAATGAATGGAAATAATCCCTGTGCGCCATGCGATACGAGTGGGTACTGATTGTTTCAGAGCTTTGAGGCGATCGGTTGCTCCTCGCCCGGGTCGTATTGGTGACTGGCGATGTACTTCAACCAGTCCTCGTGCGTGGAGACGCCGCTCGGCGCGCGGCCGAGACTTTTGGCGACGATCATCTCGCAGATCTCCGCAGTGAGCGTCACCGAGACGTCTCTGATGGAGTTCATGTCCGGAAAGAGGTGACCGGCGTCGATCTCTGCGTCAGATGTGATGCCTGCGAGCGACTCGGCGGCAGCGAGGAATAAATCATCCGTGACTTGCGTCGCGTGCGTCAGTGCTGCAGCGTAACCGAGTGCCGGGAACACGTAGGCATTATTCGCTTGCGCCGGAAACACGGTAACGCCATCGCGCTTGCGAACCACGGGATCGAAAGGCGATCCGCTCGCGAAGACGACCTTGCCGTCGCTCCACGCCATCGCCTGCTCGAATGTGCACTCCGATTTCGACGTCGGATTGGAGAGCGGGAAGATGATCGGCCGCTCGTTGATCGAGCACATACGTTTAACCACGTCTTCCGTGAACGCCTGGCCGATCGTGCTCACACCGATCAGCGCCGTGGGCTTGATGGCGTCAATGGCTGAAAGCAAATCCGGTTGGAACTGGACGTCGTGCGCGAACGCAACTTTGTGCGGTTGAAGCCCATCGAGACGGGATTTACACACAAGACCCTTCGAATCCATAAAATAGCAGCGCTCCATTGCCTCCTTGTGAGACATTCCGGTCTTTTCCATGGCCATGGCGATCAACTCTCCGATGCCGACGCCGGCTTCTCCGGCGCCGTAAAACAACACCCTCTGGTCCTCCAATTTCCCCTTCGTCACCCGCAGCGCGCCGAGCAGAGCGGCGAGCGTGATCGCCGCGGTGCCCTGGATGTCGTCGTTGAAACACGGCCCGCTATGGCGATACTTTTCCAAAATCCTAAACGCGTTCGCGTTGCCAAAGTCCTCAAACTGCACCAAGCAGCTCGGCTGCCAAGCGCGCATCTCTCGCATAAACTCGTCCACGAGCGCGTCGTACGCCTCGCCCTTCAACCGCTTCCTTCGAAGTCCCTTATAATTCGGATCGTTCAGCAATCGCTCGTTGTTCGTCCCCACGTCGAGGCACACCGGGAGGCACGTCGACGGGTGCACCCCGGCGCACACCGTGTACAACAAAATCTTCCCCTCACTGATCCCCATCCCTCCCGCCCCGAGATCACCGAGACCTAATATCCGTTCCCCATCCGTGACCACGGCCACGGAGACCGGATCGTCCGTCGCACCCGTCTCCACCCCTCGCGTCGCCCCTCCGCACGCGTCCCGCACCCATCGCATCTCCTCTCTCCAGTGCCTTCGCAGCTTCGCCCCAACCTTCCCCGCGTCGTCCGCCGTGATGTACACCCCGTGCGCACGCACCGGGAGGTCGTGATACCGTTCGCACGCCTCGCCGACGACGGGCGTGTACACGAACGGCATCAATTCCTTGGGCGCGCTCACGAGGACGCGATAAAACGTCTCCGCGTCCGCGCGCTGGAGCGATCGCAGGTTGAGGTATCGATCGATCGGCACCGCGCGCGCGCGAAGGGCGTCGAGCGCCGCGCGCGCGCGCGACATCGCGCGCGACGACGCGCGCGCGGCGGTGACTGCGGCATTGGTCGACGCGCGCCTCGCTCCACGCGTCGTGATGTCCGCCTCGCGCGTCGTCGAGCGCGCGCGCGCGGTGGAGGGTTGGACCGTGACGTCGACGACGACGCCCATCGTCCGTCAGGAGCGCGCGCGGGCGATCGAGCGCGCGACGGGGGCGCCGACGACGCCGGAGATGTTGTTTGACAGCGCGCTCGAGCTGGTGCACGAAAAGAGCGGTGTGTCGCTGCGGTTCGAGGCCGAGGACGCGCTGCGGGCGTGGCGCGCGCATGGATTACCCGCGATTCAAGTGGCGGCGGCGCGGGCGTGACCGCGGCGCACGTCGAACGGTTCGGGAAGATGGATGAGACGAGACGCGGGACGTGGAACTCGACAGAGGCGAGCGAGAGCTACGATTGGACGTTCACCACGCCGTACGGAGGAACGGTCGCGTCGACGAGCGGACGAGCGGTCCCGGAATGGCGAGAGACGGAGAAACGGATCGATCGAACGATGCTCACGGCGAGGGATCCGATTTTATTATACGACGAGCTCACGTTGTACGAGTCCGAGCTCGACGACAACGGCGTCGCCCACCTCGGTCTCAAGGTGCGCGTCATGCCCAAGTGCTGGTTCGTCTTGCTCAGATATTGGCTTCGCGTCGACGGCGTCCTGATTCGTCTCCGGGAGACGCGTTTCTTTTGCGACGTGACCGACACGGACGCCTCGGGCGCCCCGCGCGTCGTCAGAGAGACGCAACATCGCGAGGAAACGTGGGAGAGCCTCCGCGCGCGCGGGGCCCCGTGCGAGCCGAAACAATTCCCCGACGCCGACCAAGCCGCGAGCGTGCTCCTCGCCGCGGGCGGTCCCGTGGACGTCGTCTTCCACGAGCTCGCGTTCCCGCCCGCCGCGTGACCGCGCGGCGCCATGCGGTCCCATTCAAAAACCAAACGCCCAATTATCCTCTACACACGACCCAAACGACGACTCACGACTCAGAACCGACCCCATGCCGAGCGGTCCCACCCCTCACTCGCGCGTCGCCCGTCCGCACACGCTTCCGCGCGATCGCCCACGATGGC